CCCCGGGGTTAAAGCCCGAGTCTAGAATGGTCATATTTCATAATATTTCATAAATACTGAACTTGAAAATCTGTTTGCGAACTTAGACGAGTGCTCAGCTCGCCTAACGAGGGTGGCGAAGGGTGACGGGTGCGGAATGAGACCCAGCAAATTGTTTCAACATTTTCGAGTTCAAGAATCTTGAACGCTGCACAAGGGACAAAACGAGATGCACTGAGTCTGACGCGTCACAGTTCCGATGCAAGGCCCGAGAGGGTTGTGCGGGTGATTGACAAGTACACAAGTCTCTTTCAACACTTATATCTGTTGTAACAACTTACGTTTAGAAAAAAGTACCACTAATACCTTTGGGAACTGTCGGTGATTGACTGGCAGTAACATCAAGTACTGTATGGTGAGGTGATTCACTGCTGATGAAATCAGTGACATAAACCAAGCGTATCAAACAATGTTGGATCATGTAAATGATTCCTAAATTTACTTATCTAATCCATCTCCCCCACTCATTATCAGTCTTCCGGTTCACATGCGCGAAAAGTGAGTGGTGGTGTTGCACATACATTCTGCAAGGCGCGAAGCAGGGGTGAAATTTGAGAAAACCCTGGACTGGATGCAAAACGGGGAGTAGAGATGGGCAGAGAAAAACATGCAAGTAGGTAGAGGGTTGGGATGAGAGCGGGGGGTGGGGAAGTGCGCATACGAAGGGGGAAGAATGAGGGGCTGAGAGACGGGAGCGTGAACAATGGGTGTGCGTGAGCGATGGGCGTGCGTGAGCGATAGGCGTGCCTGAGCGAAGGGTGTGCTTGAGCGATGGGTGGAAGAGAATGAGGGGAGAGGATGGATGGAAGTAGGAAAGACGAGACGGAAGAGGAGGGACAGAGGGACGGGAGATTGGGTAAGGGGAGGGATTGGAGGGTTGGAACTACGGGATGGGAAGCGAGAAGCCCCGAGTAGGGAGGGGGGAACCTAGCGCGTACGGAAGGGGGGAAATTGCGCGTACGAAAGGGGGAAAATTGCGCGTACGGTAAAAAGGGAAAATGCACGTATGAAAGGGTGAAAAGTGCGCGTACGGGAGGGGGAAATTGCGCGTACGAAAGGGGGAAAATTGCGCGTTACGGAAGGGGGAAATTGCGCGTAGGGATGGGGAAAGGAACGAGGGCAGGAAGGCGAGAGTCAGAGAGCGACGGGTCGGACTGAAGGGAAGTGCACGACGTGGGCGATGGGAGGGACGGAAGCGACGGGACGGACGGGAGGGTCGGGAGGGACGGGAGGAGCGTGACGAAGGGAGGAGCGGGAGCGACGGGAAGGAAAAGCGAGGGCGAAGGGAAGAGAAAGCGGTGAGCAAATTGGATGGAAAAGCGAGGGTGACGGGAGAGGAAACGGTGAGCGACGGGATGGGAAAACGTGGCGACACTCAGAGAAAGCGTAGACGAAGGGCGCGGGAATGAAGTGCGTTCTAAAAGGCGACAAGAGGGGAAGCGAGCGAGTGGAGGAAGTGAGCGACGGGGAGCGACGGAAGCGACGGGAGGGACGGGAGGGGAGCGACGGGAGCGGCGCCCAGGACAGACGCAACGAGGGCGACGGGAGGAGTGGGAACGACGATAGGGACGTAGAAAACGGGAGGGACGAGAGCGACTCGAGGAGCGGGAGCAACGGGAACGACGGAAGCGACGATAGATATGGGCTGCGATTTGTTCTTGCGCATACGCGAGCGAGTGGATGGATTGGGGGTGTCGTGAGGCACGGGAGTGACCTACACTATGTCACGGGAGTGACCTGCAGGTTTGTCCTGGGTGATGGGCGTAACTATCGGCTCGACGATATTATGGGCTACGGAGCCTGCTATGCAACGAGTCTAGAACGGTAGTTTCAAGTTTCAAGTTTTCAGAACTGTGAACAGTGAGTCTGTTTTTGTTTTTCCTGGCGAGGCTCGTCAGTGTTTCTGCTGTTGTACTTTTGGCCAATCACATTCCTGCGCTTCAATTCATGGTGAGTGGATCGCGAGAGAGCATCACTGAAAGGCGGGTTACCGTGTTCTTGGCCGAAATCATGTTCAAGAATCTTGAACTTGAACCCTTGCCATTCTAGTCTCGGGCTTTAATACATTTACACCCTGATAATAAATACACCCCATAATTTTACCCGGGGTAGGATAAAACCCGGGGGTGTATTAGTCGGGTTCATATGTTATATTTGAGGGTAGGCTGTAGTGGGGTAGGTAATGTGGGGTATAACCCCTTAGGGTTTCCTTTTTGTACCATCTCTCTCGATAGTCAACACCATTCATGCCTAGTTCTTAAGATGGTGATCCCTGATTGATCCTAGGGAAGGGTTACAGGCACGTTGGCCTGGGGGGTTATGGGCGCACTCACCCGCTACACAAACAAGCCCTTTTTGTTAGAATATTTCTGTAACTGCCTGTAGCTATGGATGTTTAGTGTAGTTATTATAAACTGTTGGTGGTGCACCTTCTTTGCATGCTTCATTTGCTATTTGTACCTCGCTCAATAGTGAACTCATCCTCTTTGGCTAAACTCTCTCGACATGCTTGCTACTCTCTCAAGTCTCCTCCTACCCCAAACCCAAGTGTTCACTTAATCTACTATTCTAACATGGTATTAAGAGCTAGGTCATCCTAAGACCTATTTTTTTTCCCCAATGGGCCCACCACGTATCCCCCCACTCATGGCGCTCGTCTCGCCCCCCGTCGCGACCGTAGTTACGACGGTTGCAAAGGTCGCGACCGTCAAAACGGTCTCGGCGGCGAGCTGCGCGACGGGGTCAGATGCGGCCTCGTTTCGTCTCCCCGTCGCGCCCGTTGCCCCTGCTCGTCGCGCGCATCGCCTGCCCCGCCCCGTTCTGTCACGAACACAGCAGCAGCCGCGCGCAGCTGCGTACGGCCGCGCATTGTTGCGCGCAGCTGCGTACGACCGTTCGCACCCGCGCACGGTCGTGTGCGCCAGCACCAGCGCCCGTCGCCAGCACCTGCGCGAGCGCCAGTGACGACGCAAGCGCCAGCAGCAGCTAACGCCGCCCCCCCCCTTCCCTTCCGCAGCTTCCGCCATGGGGGGGGATGTGGGGGTGGCGGGTGTGAGTTGCCTGCAGCCCGTCCTTCCCCTCCCTTCAGCGTGGTCCGCCGTGAGGGGGGGAAGAGGTTGCGGGGGGAGGGTGAGGGGAAAGGGGGAGATTGTGAAGGAGTGGAGAGAGGGATTCTGCCGAGCCAGCAGCCGCCCCTCCTCCTCTCTCTCTCACTGCCGCGTGTGCTGCCGTGGGGGGGAGGGTGAGACGGTAGCGGAAGTCAGCTAGGCATCTGCAGCTGCCGCCCGCTGCTACCGTGACACCTCCTGCTGCCGCCCCTGCCTCCACCTGCTGTTTATTCTGCTGTCTTCTGCTGTTGAGCGGCAGGTGCTGCCGTTGAGCCCTGCTGTGCCGCCGCACGGTGCCGCCGCACGCACCCGCTCTCCAGGCGACCTGCCGCCACATGCACCTTTGCCTGTTGCTTCTACCTTGGCTGAGGGGTTGGTGTAGCTGAGTCTGCCACCACTACACCGGTTGCCACTGCTCTTGCCTGCTGATGCTGTCATCTCTGTTCGTGGTGTACCCACTCAGGATGTGTTGCTGCACAAACTCCTGCTGCAGGCAGTTATGGGGGAGTGTTAGAATATATCTGTAACTGCCTGTAGCTGTAGTTTAGTGTAGTTATTATAAACTGTTGGTGGTGCACCTTCTTTGCATGCTTTGTTTGCTATTTGTACCTCGCTCAATAGTGAACTCATCCTCTTTGGCTAAACTCTCTCGACATGCTTGCTACTCTCTCAAGTCTCCTCCTACCCCAAACCCTAGTGTTCACTTACCGTAATCTACTACCGTAAAGTGCCACCTATAGGACCCTGGGGACTCTACAAATGCTTGAAAAAGTGCTAGGGGGACCCTCTGGCGGATGCAAAATTTTAAGACCCGGGGTACACTTATTTATCAACTATCATTCTGTTCTTTAGGGTGTACGGCTTAATTCGGGGCGGGGGGGTCTTATATTTATAACGAAAAACGGCATTCGTGGGCGGATTTCGCGCGAGCGGCGCGTCAGATCTGTGTCAGAATTCGAGTCTGACACAAACAAAGTGTCAGAATTCGAGTCTGACACAAAAAATCGTGTCAGAATTCAAGTTTCTGTCAATAAAAGCTGACTCACAATAGCAATTACAACTACTGTATACAGAAAAGGGGGGTCTTATGATGATTAGGGGCAGAAAGGGGGTCCTCACAAATCCTGCCCAAATAAGAGTCCCTCTGCTCCTTCAAGAGTCCCGGGGACCCTCTTACCGGCGGGTCCTATAGGTGGCACTTTACGGTATTCTAACAAGCTCTTTTATCCCAGTGGTTAGTGGCTGGGATTCTGACATACTGGCCAAATTTGGGTGTTTTTGTCAAAGGCGCAATCTGATTGGCTGTCCAAAGTGTGGCAATGTCGTGCTGGTTGCGGTATGCTCAGGGAAGCCATGCAGGGGTTCTCGTTATCGATATAGCTGATCAGTGTTTAAATTTTTGGCACTCTGAGTGCTCAGCGTTTTCTTTTTTTATACCCTGAAAAATCAGTGTTTTTCCTAGGGATGAAACTGAAAATCAGTGTTGCTAGGCTAGGGACACTGAGTGCTCAGGGTACCCAAAAACCAATCCGAGGCCCTGGTACACATACAAACATATGAAATATATACTTCTACATTAAGAGGCCGACGGAATCCACTCTTATTGTTCACCTTCAAAACAAAGGCTGCCAACCAAAACAGAGTACAAATATGTGTACAGGATCACACCAATCAACAGCATAATCAGCATATACCGTAGAAGCTTATATATGGGGGCCTGCAAGGTGCCAAAAAAACTGGAAACTAGTATCCAAATTAGAGAGACCAGGAATGCAGGCCCCCCAATGTAAGTACAGAAATGCCGTGCAATGAAAGGCATGTGGATAAGAATGGCGAAGGCCACTCACACTAGCTTCATCGCATTTTCTTCCGGCCCGCCACGCCAGCATTGGCTGATCTTGGCAGGTGAGCATTGCGATGGCAGAAGACAAATGTCTTGGCTCCCGCTGCTTTGCTGCCCTCCTCTGTGTTCTCCACCATCAACCCGGTCTTGCCTCCAATGGTGCGTCGGTGGGCATAGCTGCACACACCACACCGTACGCAGCAGCATCTACTGCTTCAGTCAACTCCAAGTAAAAGAAACGAGCTTCATAGCCAGGCACCCAGCAACCATCTGTAACCAAACCCTACCATCCTGCCTGCCCATCTTTTCCTTTGCCCTCCCCCCTTCTCCACCACGCACCCTGGGAAATCGTCGCGGTGGAAGCGATGGGTGAACTTGAGGCGCAGCGCGCGGCTCTCCTCAGCCAGTGCGGGCGCGTTCCAGAGGCTGTAGGGGTGCCCCGTGCGCAGTGACACACGCACCTCGCCCTGCGGCGCCAGCAGAGGGGCTGCACTCACAAAGAAGTCAAACAGCAACTGCCGGTTGCGCTGCAGTGCACCACAGGGGGGAGCAAGCGGGGAGGACGGGAGAAAGATAAAGAGGAGCGGGTTGACCATGGAGGTGTCGGGCGAATGCATTAGTTGAGTGGGCACATGGTGAAGCAAGGCAAGGCTGGATGCGTGATATGACCCCACATTGCACGGAAGAACACAGCGTAGCATGCCATGGCACGGTCAAGTGTTGAGTGGTAGGCAGCAGAAATGGCAGTGCAAGGGGCAGCAGACGTGGGGGAGCAGGGAGTGAGAGCGAGTCATGCGTGTGCGAGACCTGCACGTTGATGCGCTCGTCCTTGATGCCGAGACCCACGTGGGGGAAGTTGAACACAATCCTGACAGGCACACGGCACCACACGCACACAGCACAGCACATGCAGGTGTGCAGGTGGTGTGCAAGACCGGCAGTAACAATGGTGCACAGGAGTACAAGGTAGTATGGCGCAGTCACGCAATGACTCACCGATCAAAAGGCTTCTCCAGTGGATTCGCTTTCCCCTTCCTGCGCCGCTTGCCTGCATTGGCGAATGCGTTGAGAGACAGGGGGGGGGAGAGAGATGAAGGCATTTGAGGTAGAGAGCATGAAACAGAGGGGAAGGGAAAGAGCGAGGGATGGAGGGAGAGGGAGAGAGAGAGAGAGAGAGAGAGAGAGAGAGAGAGAGAGAGAGAGAGAGAGAGAGAGAGAGAGAGAGAGAGAGAGATAGAGAGAGAGAGAGAAGGGAGATGCACATGCGAGGTGGTGGTTACCGAGGTGCAGAGTGTGAGCGAGGCGAGTGGCATCGACGTTGAAGAGCACGTGCGCCCCCGCCCCCTCCACCTCCTGCAGCACCGCGCCCGCCTCCTCCCCATACTTCTGCACGCACACCAGCAGCGACACGACACATGAGCGCACGGCACATGAGCGCACAGATGCACAGGCGACCTGTGCAGCGAGGTGCAGCAACTAGGGGTGGCATGGCATGTGGTGGTGGGGCACGAGGACGAACCTGCACGATGGTGTGACGCGAATCAAGAGCCGTGGCGAAGAGGGCGAGGGGCCGAGCGGGCGCCATGAGGCGCAGGAGAGCACGCGTGAAGGAGAAGTCGCCCTCGCCCACCAGCAGAATGCGCTGCGCGATGGCAGAGTTATTGGAGGGCGGCACGGCAAGGGAAGGGCGGAGAACGCGAGGGACGGAGGAATGCAGAGGCACGACTGATGAACCCTAAATCCGAAACTCGTCAGTCGTATCTAATGAAGGTCCATTCGAAAGAAGAGAGAGAGAGAGAGAGAGAGAGAGAGAGAGAGAGAGAGAGAGAGAGAGAGAGAGAGAGAGAGAGAGAGAGAGAGAGAGAGAGAGAGAGAGAGAGAGAGAGAGAGAGAGAGAAAGAGAGAGAGAGAGAGAAGGTGCCTATCCTGGACCCATGCCTTCCCAACATCTCCTTCGCTGTGGGGACGGAGCCAACCGCACCACCACTCACAACAACCTCGTTAACATGGTGGCACAAGGAAAGTAAGGCGGGTTTCATCGTGCACAAGGAATCAACCCTCCATGCTGCCCACGATGACTCACCTCGAGCCGATGTCGTGATGAGAGACAGAACCACACGCGAGTCATGGGTAATCGACGTTACTGTCGGCTGCCCCATGACCAAAAACAGGGACAAGAGGGCCAAAAAGCCGCCAGGGTGGGCAACAGAGGAAGCGGCACAGAGAAGGAGCGACTGTACGAAGATCGCCCGGACTACCTGGGGTTTTTCCCCCTGGCCGTTCATACCGATGGCTGCAACGGCACCGGGACAACAGAATTCTTCAAACTCCTGTCCGAGGCCGCAGCGCGCCTAAGGTTCCAAGCTGAGCCACTCTCTACAGTCACTCACAAGTATTTCAACCACTTTAGCCAGCGTTGGGCAATTGCACTTCAGCGAAGCCAAGCCAATGCACTGCACGCAAAAGCCAACCGGGTGGTAGAGGCATCTTACCCACAAACAGCAGCTGACCCGTGGCCCATAGCCCTCGGGGACCTGCTAGCGGTCCAGGAGGCTTGAGCGGGGAGAGTGGACCTCCCCAGCTCCCACCCTTGTAAGTCTTGGACCTCAGCTCGGATGTCAGCTGACCAGCCACGCCACTGCTGGTCAGCAGAGTGCAGGGAACTGGCACGTTGCCCATGAAGCACACTAGGGCCAGCCAACCCCTGCTAGACGTCAAGTGGTGGGTGCAGCAGAGGGCAAGGAGAGGGGCACCTGTGACGGGTGAAAACCCCTGAGACCAGACGGCTCTTCGACTCGCTCGCTCTTCTTGCCTTTCCTTGCTGCGTCATCCTCCTCCTCATCTTCCTCCTCGTCCTCCTGTTCGTCCCCCCGACCTTCCCTCTCCTCCTCGTCCTCCTCGCCCTCTCCCTCCCCTTCATCCGCCCTCCCTCGCTTCTCACCGCTCGTCACTCCCACGGGCCTACCCCCATTCTCGTCCTCCGCCCCCACATCGTCCCCCCCAGCTATCCGTCCCCCTACCACTCGCACACTGGTCCCGCCATCACCGCCCCCACCTCCGTCGCCCCCCTGCAACCCTTCCTCCATAGCGCCGCGCTCATCACCCCGTTCCCTCCCCATTCCCGCCGCATCCTCCCCGCCAACCCCAGACCCCTCAACCCCCCCCGCCGCCCGCGCCTGCTCCTCCCCGGTCGCTGGGCTTCCACCCGCGCTGAGACGCAATGGAGGGGGGTGGGGCGGCAATGGAGGCAGGAGGATCGCAGTAAGGCGGGGCGCGAGGGGGTGGGAGGAGGTGGGCGTGGCGCATGGGACCAAGGGCAGGGCGCCGAGGTTCATGGGACGAGAAACCCAGCTGGGCGCGCACCTCCACTCGCAACAGCGCGTCGCTCAACCCTAAACCCAGGACTGCCCACCCCCTCACCTCTCTCTCCGCTCCTCGCCGCCGTCTCTGTCTCCCGCTCCCGCCACCCCATCGCGCCTTGGATCGTTCCCCGCGCGCGCCTTCCTGTCGTCGTCTCGCGCCTCCACCAGGTCCTGCTTTCCCTTCTGCGCCCCTCCCTTCTCCACTGCTCTACGCCTGCTGCCCCCACCAATCCTCGCCTGAGCCATTCCCTTTCCACTCTTCCGCTGAGGCTTTCCCGCGGCCCCACCTCCCCCACCACTCGCAATACGCTTGGCGTGCAACGCCGCTGCGAGATGCTTTCGGCGGAGCTGACTCTTCTGTTCGTGGCGCTGCCGCTTCTGCTGGCGCTTGCTCATGGCGAAGCGGAAGCGGACGCGGGGAGGGGAGACGGAACGCCTGCGGGAGTACGCGATGGTTGTTGAAAAGCTGGGCACCCGACTCTGCAAACGAACCTAACCCGCAGGAATGACGACGAGATCAGATTTTGACGGGGACGCCCTCAAATAGCAGGCTTAGGGGGTTAGGGCATGTGAGGGAGTAATTGGCTGCGTTCTGCAGGTACGACAGAGGGGGAGAAGGCGGTAAATAGGAACCTTCCCCCAACTGCGTTTTTTGGATCAAACGCCCGGTCAGCCCGGAAAATGGATCCGAGCCTCCCATTTACCCTCCGAACGTAAACGAAGGTAAATGGCAACAGAACAGCCATTTACCCTCGTGGATATGTGGGCGTAGGAAGCTGCTTATTTCCCCACCCCACCTTCCTTCTCTGGCAAAATTTGCCTCCTCCTCCCCCCCTTTCGAAAACTTCTCTTGCCCGGGATGTGAGACGGAGGGGGAAGGGAGGTGCTGGGTTAGGGAACACCACACTTGAACCCTGGAAAGCAAACAGCCCCTCCTTTGAGTCGCCCTAACAGGGACGCGTCAAACTACCAGCTAAAAAAAAGGTTTGAATCAGCGGGGTTTGTGTCTTGCTGGGGGAGTGCAGGGAGGGACCCTTTTTTTCTACGTGGTAGCCCTTCTCAAAAGTTCAACCCTTTTCCAGATTTCGCGCAGCTCTATCTACCCAACTTCTGAGAGTTGGAAATTGTGGCTGTTTTTTCGGCAATTACCTTCAGCAGCTTCGCACCCTAAACCCGAAATTTCCAACTCTCGGTTGTAGCGGGGGGGGGGGGGGGGAGGTCTCGAAGGGGAAACTGCCTCGGAACCCTCGTCATTTCCCTCGCCCCCCCACCCCTCCCAAGGGAAATGCCTACAGAACGCAGCCATTGTAATCAGGAGAGTTTACGCTAGAATGGCAGTGTTGCTCTACACCCTCTTTCTCGCCATTGTGAATTCGGTTATAATGAAGTCTGTCAGAATGTTATTGTCTAGCCTGCAGTGGGGTGCTCAATAGTGAGTACAACCCCTTAGGGTTTCCTATTTGTACCAACCTGCTTGCTAGTTCGACGATCCTCATTCTCATTTTTCTTCTTCAATTCTCCTTCGTATACCCTAAACCCTAGTTATAGGGCCCACCCTACCTACTCTATGTGTGGGCCTAGGCTACTAAGCCTAGGCCCCACTCCTAGTGATTCTGACATGGTATCTAGAGCGAGCATGATCCTGCCGCCTAGCTCAACGGGCCCACCAACTGCTTCCGCTGCCATACTTTCCGCCGCGCGCTCCGTGGTGCGCGGCGCTGTATTTTTCTTCCCGCCGCGCGCTCCGAGCGCGTGGCGGCTTTTTCTGCCCGCTGCGCGCTCGGGGCTCGCGGCGGCTTCACCGTCCGTCGAGGCGCCCTCCGGGGGGGGCCTGCCCGCTGCTCCCCCCCCGTCGCTCGTCGCGGCGCCTTCAGGGGGCCCGCCCGCTGCTCCCCCCCGTCGCTCGTCGCGGCGCCTTCAGGGGGCCCGCCGGCTGCTCCCACAGTCGCCCGTCGCTCGCGCCGCCGCCCCTCCTGCAGCTCGCGACGCCGCCCCCACAGCAGCTCGCGACGCCGCCCCTGCAGCAGCGCGCGAGCAGCCCCTGCGCTCGCGACGCCGCCCCTGCAGCGGCGTGTGTACCGCCCCTGCGCCAGTGACCCGCCCCTGGAGCAGCCGCCCCTGGAGCAGACCGCGTCGCCGCCCCTGCAGCAGTGCGCCAGCCGCCCCTGCAGCAACGCGTGTGCCGCCCCTGCGCCAGCGACCCGCCCCTGGAGCAGCCGCCCCTGGTGCAGCCGCCCCTCGCCCCTGGAGCCGCCCACCACTGCAGCAGCCGCCCCTGGAGTCGCCCGCCACAGCAGCAGCCGCCACTGGAGCCGCCCGCCACTGCAGCGGCCGCCCCTGGAGTCGCCCGCCACAGCAGCAGCCGCCCCTGGAGCCGCCCGCCACTACAGCAGCCTCCCCTGGCGTCGCCCGCCTCTGCTGCAGCTGCCCCTGGACCTGCGCCGCCGCCCCTGGAGCAGCCGCCCCTGGTGCAGCCGCCCCTGTACCCGCGACGCCGCCCGTGGAGCAGCCGCCCCTGGTGCAGCCGCCCCTGGACCTGCGCCGCCGCCCCTGGAGCAACCGCACCAGCAGCAGCCGACCATGCAGCTGCCCGCGACGCCGCTCCTGGACCCTGTGCAGTCGCGCTCAGTCTCACTCGCGCCCTCGTGCGCTCTACCCTACCTGCTCCGCGCTGTTGCTCTGCACGCGCGGTTGCCCGCGCCCTCGTGCGCCCTACCCTACCTGCTCCGCGCTGTTGCTCTGCACGCGCGGTTGCCCGCGCCCTCGTGCGCCCTACCCTACCTGCTCCGCGCTGTTGCTCTGCACGCGCGGTTGCCCGCGCCCTCGTGCGCCCTACCCTACCTGCTCCGCGCTGTTGCTCTGCACGCGCGGTTGCTCGCGCCCTCGTGCGCCCTACCCTACCTGCTCCGCGCTGTTGCTCTGCACGCGCGGTTGCCCGCGCCCTCGTGCGCCCTACCCTACCTGCTCCGCGCTGTTGCTCTGCACGCGCGGTTGCCCGCGCCCTCGTGCGCTCTTCTGCCCCGGCACTCCCCCCCCCCCCCCCCCCCTGCGTCCCCTGGACAGGAGGGTGTGGGGGTGGCGGGTGTGGGGGTGCTCCTTGTGCGTCGCCCCTACCTTCTCCTCCGTCTCCCACTGCTGCAGCTGCCGCTGCGGGGGGGGTGGATGTGTGGGAGACGAGGGAGTGGCGCTAGGGGGGTGATGTGGGAGTGGAGCTAGAGGTGACATTGGGGGTGTGTGTAGGGGGGTGTGGGACAGCTGGAGGAGGTTGCAGCACCTGTTGCCCGTGTGTCTGCAGCTTCAGTCGTCGTCTCCAATCTTCTCTCCCTTCACAGTTTTCTCCTCCTCCTCACTTGCCCTCTGTGATAGCCTCTAGCTTTGCTCATATTTGTGAACTATTGCACTGCCTGCTCATTGTGCTGATTGCACCCCACTTTGGCTATGGGGGTGTGTCAGAATGTTATTGTCTAGCCTGCAGTGGGGTGCTCAATAGTGAGTACAACCCCTTAGGGTTTCCTATTTGTACCAACCTGCTTGCTAGTTCAACCATCCTCATTCTCATTTTTCTTCTTCAATTCTCCTTCGTATACCCTAAACCCTAGTTCTAGGGCACACCCTACCTACTCTATGTGTGGGCCTAGGCTACTAAGCCTAGGCCCCACTCCTAGTGATTCTGACAAAGTCAAGATGGAAAAATCTCGGTAAACAGTGGTAAAGTTACGTTTCGGTATGGTTCAATCAGGCAAATCAAAGATAACAAGGCTTGCCACCAGTTCGGCACAGTTCAGTGTAGCGAGAAACAGGTGTACTAGAGTGAGGCTTTCACATCAAGCGAAACTATTTTGCCTTTTCACGGTTAGCATAATGAATTAGAATTGATTACTATAGAGTCAGCTCCTAGCAAGGACAGCCCGAGCAGTTCGCGTCAGTTTGGGTTCGGCCTATACTTTGGCCCGAACCACATTCCGAGTCGCCCCGCACCAATCGCGACTCTTCCAACCCTCGCACATCACGAGGTCCACGCCTAGCACGTATTCGCCCTACAAATGTTCGCTCTTTTCATTATCTCGGCATTCTGTAATCACGTTTCTTTTTGTAAGGTCTTCCGCGCACTCTGTTTAGTACAACTCATAACACTTGGTACCAGAGCTACTTTCCTAGGTCACCCGTTTTTAGCGTGTAATACTCCTCAAGAGGGGGGAGGGGGGGGGGAATAGGGACGGATGCCGTGGGGTCTAAGAGTTGCGCGCTAACCGACCAGGAGAACAGGAAGTTGCTCCTCGCGGCCATGATTTTCACAGGTGCTCCTTCGGCATCGCCAGATCCTTGCCCTAGACGGTCAAGATGGACCGTGACCTCCCTCCCCCCAGGTGGTGGACAGCTATGGCTGTCGCACATTAAATGTGAGTAAATTTTTTGTGCAAGTTCCGAGGATTTCAGAGAATTAATGCGTGTGGCAGCTGGCGTCAGAGGACCTGCGTCGGCACATGCGCGAAGTCTCCTGAAGTCATCGTCCGTGGTGCGAGTTGGCGTCGGCTCGTGGTTGCCAACTTTGCGCGATAAAGTCGGAGTTAATGCGCGCGGCAAGTGACGTCATGCGTTATCGTCACGCTGCGCACGAGAATTTCAGAAGTCTTCGGCACGAGGTGATCGTCGCCACTCTACGTGAAGATTTCATGTGGCTTCACTTGAAGAGAAAAGACAGTTGGCCGGGCAGGCCAGGCGCATGGTGATTTGCGTCGGAAAATGCAACGGCCAGGAGAGACGGCGTGACGACTGCCCAAAGAAAGCGGGGGTCTACAGTTGTTCCGCCCGGGTGCAGCTGGTCTGGCTGCAAAAGGGTGGGTCGTTGGCGTTTTCGGCAGAGTGGCACAGTGTGGGACGGAAGTCGTTTTTCAACCCACCAAAACTGGTTCCGCGCTTCAGGAGGGGAGAAGACGACCTAAAAAAAAAAAAAAAAAAAACTCTTTGCTGAT